GTGTGGCATTCTTTGCACCCTTTACATCTTTCTACCTTATTGCATGCTCTTGCACGCAAAAAAATTTTTTTCTTCTTAGTTTTCTAACTTGGGTTGAGACCTCAGAAGAGAATTCCTTGCAAGGCATGGCTGAAAATAACAGTGTGAGGAGATCTGGGAGAAGTATTCACTCCTACCTCTGCCACTCCTACCTCTATTGAAAACTGGGAGATGAACATTTTTACTGCTTGTTTTTCCATGAAGCACAAAGCAGCTTTATGAATTGACATTTTGTGGTATCCTAGAGTTTTGAGGCAGAATGCATTACAGTGTTAATAGGTGTGCTAATTTACCAAAGCTTTCCTTATCCCAGGATTCCTGTGCTACTTTATGAGATACTATTTATTAAGGATGATTTTCACCTTTTCTGTTATTTACAGTTCTTTTAATTGCTAGTTCTAAATGTTTAGCTTCTTACTTATTTCTCAGGAAAACATAACAGAATGTAATTTTGGCTGATTTGCTGACTTCATTTGGATGGATGGATAGATGTACACTTATTAGTGTGGTGGTAGCCCATTTTGAAATAAAATTCACTCCGATATGCATTTTGGTAAAGAAATGTGTCTAGGAAAGGGCAGGCCAGATCATATCTGATAGCACAGTTCTTTTTCTCCTAATGAGTCCTGGTAATTGCAGTGAGGGGATTTGTTCCCCTTGAACAGTCCAAACCTCTGACTTTGGGAAGGAAGTAATGTTAGATAAACTTAATCTGCTATTCTGTGTGAGTGTGTGTGTACACACATGTGGATGTTTGGGGATTATACTCCCTACAGAGACTACAGAGTCAAACTCAAGATGGCACCATGATAAAATATCTGATCTGATCTGATCTCTGGAGATTATTTTCTTAGCTTCGAGCAGTTGTGGATACTATATGATGCATTATCAGAGACAATAATCCAAAGTAATGGATTTGTATAATGTACAACACAGAAAAAGCTCGATATCTGGTACAGAGAAAGAAAGGTTTTTGTGGCCACCAAAGAAGTGCATCAGTGTTCTTTTGGTTTTGGATTAAAACTAAACCTTGGTATCAAAATATACTATAACTCACTAGCAAAACAACTTGTACTAACTTCTTTCCTAAGACTGACTGTACCAAAAATGTTTTACTGAGTAGTACTACTTTTCCTGCTTCATAGGAGCACCTCTCCTATGAAGACAGGCTGAGAGAGTTGGGTCTGTTAAGCCTGGAGAAGAGAAGGCTCCAGGGAGACCTTAGAGCAGCCTTCCAGTACCTAAAGAGGGCCTACAGGAGAGCTGGAGAGGGACTTTTTACAAGGCTATGTAGTGACAGGACAAGGGGGAACGGCTTTAAGATGAAAGAGGATAGGTTTTGATTAGATATTAGGAAAAAATTCTTCACTGTGAGTGTGGTAAGGCATTGAAACAGGTTGCCTAGGGAAGTTATGGATGCTCCATCCCTGGAAGTGTTCAAGGCCAGGTTGGATGGAGCTCTGAGCAACCTGATCTAGTGAAAGGTATCCCTGCCTATGGCAGGGGGGTTGGAACTAGACAGTCTTTAAGGTCCCTTCCAATTCAAACTGTTCTGCGATTTTATGACTCATAGCTATCTACTTGTTGCAAACTTTTATCTGTAAGTAGAGTGGAAAAGATGTAGTTGTTGATTGCTATGCCCCTTATTTTTATATGTGTACCAAATGCATTATAGGTGTTATCAAAATTAATTTGAGAATCACATTTTAAAATGTGTTACCTCTGTTTCTAGAGTGATCTACAATGTTCTAAAGAAACCATTTGAGTCATAGAGGGTTTACCTTCTTGCTCATGATACAAAGCACTGAGTCACACCTTTCAGTATTTTAACTGACAGATATCCCTACCTTCTTTTGCTTTTTTCAGGAGTTATTGATATTGGCTTTCTCTGTCTGACAGTAATTTATTTTTTCTTTAAATCAGGAGTTTTCTCTGCATGAAAGAAAAAGTATTCTGTGAGTAATGTTTCTTATATTTACCTGTGATATGCTGAACACCGTATTTCCTTTTGTAGTGTTAAGCAGCTATCCTGAGAAGTTGAAACGTGTTTAGAAGAACAGGGACTTAACAAACAGGGAGAGAAGATATAGCAGAGTCCTTTAGTGGACAAATATTTGATAGTTTGTCACGCTTAATTGCCTGCTAGTTTTGTGTTGTGTGATGAAATAACAACCATGTGGACTATGTACAAGAACAACTATTGTCTGAGATGCTGAAAATAGACCAGTTGATCAGTTTCCCACTTTGTAAGTCTAGCATTATGGTAGGTATTTCCAGGGGCCTGCTTTATAGTGGCCTATCTCTGTTCTAAAGTTTTGTACTATTACTATGAGATAAAAGGTAGATGTGAAAAAAATAAAATGCAAAATAGAAAGGTCTGTGTCCAAAAAAATCTTGAAAAACGTGAAGCAACTTTTTATTTCCTGATTTTTATTCTGATCAGAATTTCATGGGCTTGATATCATCACTTCTGTCAGTTGCTCATTATTGTGGGATATAGTAATTTTCCCTGACTGTGTGCAGAATATGCTTCTACTTAGTTTTCTGTGCTGGAAATATGTGTTTCTGATTCTGTATTGTGTTTGATGGCTGTGTTGGAAGGGTACAAAATAGAATAACTTCCTGACATGATCTTTCAAGATCCTAATATTCCATGCTGGCCTATCTGCAAGAATTTCCTTTTCATTGACATGTTTCCCTATCCATCTGTCTCCACGTCTTCCCCGAGAAGAAAAAGAGTGTTAGTAAATAGAAGGAAGACCTTTTCTGTTTGTTTATTCTTGCTAGGGCATATCTCCTTGATGCATCTTGAGCTCAGTGGTTAACTTTTCTTGCACCTTGAACCATGAAGGTCAGTACTACACTCAGGAGCTCAAAGTGCTTTGAATTCTGATTTTCAAGAATAATAAAATAATTCAGACGTTGGCCCATTGCTGCCATGCTTCAAAACCTTACCCAGAAGAATGAAAACCGAAGCTCCGTAATGGGCTGGTAGATATGCTGCATGCCTTGGGAGGCAGACAAGATGACAGACCTGAAGTCTCTTGGTTACAGCAGGCTCCTTTTTGCAGGTGCACTGAGCTCCTGGTGTCTGCAGTGCCATGGCCATCAGCATAAGTCACTCAGGTGCAGAAAGGGCAGGGAAACATGTGACGTTAGCACACTGAGAGATATTCTCTGCTCCGCCAGTTAACAGCATGATGTCTGCAGGGCAGGAAATCAGAGAGTCTGTGTTGGGGAGGGATTTTGGTTGCATGCAGGATTTACAGCTGTGAATTAACAGAGGTCTTTGCACTGGCAATTGATTACAGTTGATTTGGTGGAAAATTTTGCTGGTGGAAAATTTTGCTGGTGAAAAAGCGAATACGTTCCTGCCTGTTGTGCTAGAACCTGATATTGACCTGATATCCTGATGCAGGTCACAAACTTTCCATGCTCAGACTACTGCACACGCTATTGTCAGTGCTGCATCTTATGCCCAGAAACAAGAGGGTAGTGCTGAGTCTATCTACATGTGAAAATTAGATTTGAGGTTGATGAGAATATATGAGATTTCTAACATCTGGAGTTCCCATTTAGACACAAGTACCAGTTGTTTGAGACCATCACATTTTGTCATATGAATCAGGAGTACTTTTCTTTTCTTTTCTTTTCTTTTTTTTTTTAGAATGGGCCTGACAAGCTCCAGATTTTTTCATACTGTTTTTTCGTCTCTCACACCTTCAAGACATCCTGAATGTTATGAGTGGTGTAGAGTTAACTGAGTGCTAATTTCTCAGCTTAAACAGACTGCCTTGTTCAGGTGCCTTTGCTAGGAAAACCACAGATCTAGATCACCTGTTCTGTCAGCCTGAGAGTGCCCACCAACACTTAGCCCATGAACTTCAGCAGAAGCTGGGTATTGGGGCTAATAACCCCATTATTTAATGCCTGCAAGCTGTTCTGTTTGATTATCAAGAGTCAAACATGCACTTATCCTTGTCTTTTCAAATGGAGCATGATTTAGCCAATACACTAATGTACATTGTTCCAACAAAATACTCTTCTTTGTAACTGCCTAAGGATGTAAGGATGAATGAATATAGGAAATACTATTTAATAACTGATAGAGTGTGGGAATAGGATAGCTGCTACAAAATTCCTGTCTGTTACTTACTTCTAGTTAAATGTAAAATGAAGCACAGCAAGCCCTAAAATGAATAAAAATCTTTTGAGGAATATTTTGAATTGTGCAAGATCAAAACTCCAAAATTACAGCTAAATTCTTCAAGGTAAAACTTAAAACTAGTAAAGCCAGAAGAAACATAATCTGTTAAAAAAGTAGTTGCTTTGTTTAATTTTGCAAGTTGTTTTCGTCTGTTTAAATTTTTTCTATTTTGCAGTGTATTCAAACTGGGTTTTGCAGTAGATTTTTTTTATGAAACAAAGGCATTTAATGCTTTTTGCTAGGAAAATAGTTAAAACTCACTTTTATGCATTCTAATAGAAGGAAAATCAAAGATATGATAAGGTCACATCTTAATATTTAAAAATTATTAGCTGTTCATTTTGAGAAATTAGAGTCAAATACTACATTTCTATTTCAGCCAAACTACAGTAAAGCCAGTGATATATTTTTCTTGAGATATAATTGATTTAGAACTGCAGGATGGGAGTGTTTGGAAGGAAAAACAAGAAAGTGTTGCTATTTCTCTAGTTAGAATGAGGAAAGAAAGACCATTTTGTATGAAAGTCTCAGAGGGAAGTCCAAACCTAATGAAAATTTCTCAGGTTGCAATATCTTTTTTTCTTTCTTTTTTTTTCTTTTAGTCTGCAAGCATCTCAAACCATTTACAAGGGATGTGGCAGACAGGAATTGCTCAGCTTATAAACACCCTTCAAAGAGTGAACACAAAAAAACCCACTCCTAGGCTAGCCTAGAAAAGTTGAACTAAAATTCTTTCTTTTCCACTTATACCTAGGCTGTCCGGGAGAAGAATGTTAACCACCGGTCCCTAGCAGCATATCCTGACTTCTGATCTCTTATATTAAAGAAAAACACCCATTTCAGAGAGAGTGCAAAACTGTGTGAAAGCAGAGAACACTACACCCCATCTTAAAAAAAAGGTAAGGAAAGGTTTTTCTGCTTTTTCTGCTAACCCTTTAACAGTGTGTTTTCTTCATTTAACAATTCACTAAGTTGAAGGCAGAAGTGAAAATTTAGATAATAATTGATCACTGAAGTATTTATTTACCCTGCATATTCTAACTTAGAAAAAAGAATCTTTTTTTATTGAAGAAAGAATGTAATTCTTGTGTTTCTGAGCTTAAAACTATTTGCTTTGTAGCTTTTGTGTGTATTTTGGGAAAAAAAAAGAAAACAAATACTATGCAAGAGAGCAAATGTTATCTTTCATTTCAAGCACTGAAGTTATTCTTAGCCATGCAAAGATTTATGTAGTCTCTGGTATACCACACAACCCTCATTTTGCCAAGACATATACACAGCATGTTTGTAGAATGTTGCCTCTGGGAGTTAGTGCTAAGGAGTAGTCTACCATTTGTGCTTGTATCAGAACAGATCTGCACTATTTTCCTTTCTGCCAGGTTTTGGATTGACTGGTTATTTGTAAAATATTTGCAACTCTGCTTCCTTAGATATTTCAGTGTTAAAAGGTATTGGAAGAAGCTGAAAACAGTTAAAATATACTGTACTGTGCATGTTTGCTCCCAAAGTGGAATGACAGCAGCAGAGGTTTTTTTCTGTTCAGATTCTCTTCCCCACCCCCCCCCTTTTTCTGTTTCTTGTTCTGGGAAGAATGTTGGAATTCCAAACAATAGATAATAACTTCTTTCTGTAGCAGCCATTCTGTAATGTGATTCTAGGGCAAATGTATTCATCAATGATGTCATTTGCAAACACCCTACTCTACACCAATGTTTCTTTAAATCTGAGTTCGGTGTCTATCTAATATAAAAACATTGTCTTCGCTTTTGCACAAAGCAATATGATTCTGTTATTTGAAGTTACTTTTGTGGTTTTAGAGAATCTGTCCTGTCTAACCCATAACACCCTGTATATTCACAAAGACTACTGATTACCTAAAAGTCCTGCCTTACTTGTGACTGTCTTGCCAAAATGTACATTTGGCTGGTGTGTTATGTGGCAAGTGAATAAACGACCAGCAGATACCATTAACAACTCTTCTGAAATGATCAGCTGAAATACATTGGCTTGATGGTAAGAAACAAAGCTTCTGTTTTCTTGAGATGGTCACAGCAGTTTTGACATTTTTCTGCCATAAAACCCTACTACACCTCAGCTGCAGGTACACAGGTGTTTGTGAAATACCTCTTTGTGAGGTGGTGTCTGTTAATGTATTACAGGTAGAACATGTTCTTATTTCTTCAAAGTAGGAAAATAAAAAATGTGCCACCACCAATGGAAAACACTCTGTGAATGCAGGATGCTTCCTACCTGCTCTCTAACCTCATATTTCTGTGCCATTTGTGTGTGAGGATTACAGATTCTGAACTATCTTCTGTTTCCTTTGAACAGACTTAGTTTTTGCAAGCAATATGGCACATTTTATACTTTGCCAAGTAAAATACAATACCCATTGGCTTAAAATACAAATATTCAAGGAGCAGCCTAGGACAGTGGTCAGATGTGATCATCTCCAGACTGACTAATACAAATTTCATAAATAAAATATGCAAGATGTATATTTCTGTATGTCTATAGAATTTGCATACAATGTTTCTTCCAAGAGAATTAAAGCTAGGTTGCTTTTCTGACAGTGTACCCAGTGTTCTTTCATAACCCACCCACATATCCTGTTGTTAGAATATTCTGCTTTTCACTGCAGAAATAAGTCCAAAACTTTTTTAGAAAATAATTTGCACTATGAGTAGATATTTTACTTAATCCATAAGATTCTTTTTGTTGTAAATCCTTTGTAAATGTAGTCTATTTTTGAACAAGGTTATTGAAGTCTAATATTTTGGGGTTTTTTTCTAATACATACAAGGTTTTTTTTATAGTTCATTCTACCATTTCACATTTTCTAGGTTAAAATGCTTGTGGCTTCAGGATCCTATTTATTGGTGACCCTACACTGCTTCCCCCAAGACTTCAGTTTCCTTTATAGCACTCTTTTGCTTTCATTCTTAAAAAATTGGAAGAACCTTCTGTTATTTTATGTTCTATTAAAGTTTTCTTTTTATTTCATGTGTATCATCCAAATCTGCTTTTCTCCCTTTATTCTGTAATTTCTTGTTCTCCTGATTTTGCTTCTTCTGTTCTTTATGCTTATCCAATTTAGATTTCTTTCTAGCAATAACTGATGACTATGGATACATTTGAGTGTGTTCTTTCAAGTCACCGTAGAGGAAGTAAAAACAGCAAGGATTTTCTGAAATAAGTCACTGTTCAGTAACTAGCTATGCAAATAAGCTATTTCCTATTTTAATGAAGAGGATGGTCAGAGACCTTGGTTTAGTCAACATTATATTGTAGCATTTGTTCATGATTAATTTTCTAGATTTTTAGACTATTCTTGCAATGAATTTTAGTGACAATTAGAATAAGCCTCAATGTGAAAAGGCCCTTGATTTTTGAACCCTCTACATAGTAATGTGAATGAATTGGAAGTCTTCTCAAATTTAATATCACAGAAAGAGCCAGGAAGTCTTTCACTGTAAATGGGCTCTGACTTCATGCTCTTCAGCAACTCAGCCTTAGCTTGCTTTTGTGCAGCACAATGTCATGTCCTCATTCTAGACCACTGAGGGAGTGACCCCACACACCAGGGAAAACTGCTTATTCAGCCCATGGCGTGTTCACTTGGTGCCTTTGGCTATGCAGGGCTGGCACCTGGGGTAGGCAGTAGAGCTCAGCTGCATAGCTCCATCCTTGCACCATGTGGAAAACTCCACTAAAAAACTCACCTGTCCTTACCACAGCCATGTCTGTCCTCTGTGTGGCCCTCCCCACTATCGTGCTTAGAAAGAACCAACATCTTTGTCTCCTCCGTGACTGAAGTAGAACAAACAAAAAGATGACCTGAGAATCGCAGCAATCTGAAATTATGTTTTCAGTTCAATGGAAAGTATTTTCTGATATGCAATTAATTAATTAGTTCAGAATATCACGCTGTCTGCAGAACGTTGCGGCAGGAGTTGAAAACCGGGGTGGTTACATCCATCTGCTGATTGTTGTGGGGCTAAAGGTTTTGATGAACTGAAAACTAAACTGTAAATACCAAACACTTGTTTCATGTAGCATTTGGAGAATCTCCTGGTTGTGTGTATTCCTCTCTGTGGCCATCATACAGGGTATTGGAGGTTACCAGCTTAGTGTCCAGGCACTTAGTCCTTCTCTTGCTAAGAGTTGTGAGATCCGTGCCTAATATTTACCAGGCTGGCAACCTGTAAGCTTTTGGAAGTTGAGAGGGTTAGCTTTTTTTAACTATTATTGACAGGGAAGTGGGAGGGCAGTAGGTAGATCTCTTATAATGTGGAAGCTATACCTGACAATTTTGGGATCTTTCAGGGAACCTGGAGAGAGTGAAACAAAAGGTACAAGCTCCTTCTACAGAAATTTCCTTTGAAAGGTAATACTGTCATGCTTGAAGAACAGGATTGTAGTTGATCATCTCTCTTTGAAATAATGGCATGACAACTATAAATAAAACAACAACAGAACAAAATAAGTTATGTCACATTTTTTATGTTCCTTAAGCCTCCCAATACATAATAGAACTAGTTACCTTTTGCATCTGCTCTGTTTCCTCAGGAAGCTGCCCAATACGGAAAAACTTGTCTTGATAATTTTGCAAGAAAGATTTTTGGAACTGGTTATATCTCAAAACAGGGTCCAAACTGTGAAACTTGCCTGGTTCTTGAATTTTTTTCAATGTGTTCAGAATTTCTTGTGCCAAGTCAATATTTTCACAAGGCTAAGAGCCATGTTTGCAAAATTTAGATTGGTTTCTGTTTGGATTTTTACTTTTGTGGTCCTGCTGATGACAGGAGCTTATTCAATTGATCCAGGTTTAGTAATTCCATAGGCTACATTCTTTTAATTTCTTCCATGCTGAATTCTGTGAAAATATCAATGAAGTGTACTGTAGGCAAAATTATCTGAGGTCAGAAGGAGACTTATGCTTCTTCTAGTAATTTTATAACTGAGTGAATTAAAGTATTCCCTATGGTTATTTTTTTTATGGCTGCTCCTACATTACAGTTTTGAAGTTCAAATTTGAATCTTAAAGAGTATTTAGGAATTCAGGTTTGTAGGATTGGAACATGAAAAATTGACACAAATCCTGATTTGACTTTGCTAAAGCAATATTTGTGTTTGTGATGTCCTGCCTTAGGCATCCAGTAGGGGCTAAATAATCTTAGAAGCCCTATTTCAGGAAAAGACAATCAAATGCTTACTTTTAATATGATTTAGTGCTTCCTTGACCTGAAAGCTCACTGTAATCCTGGGCTTCAGTGGCTGACTAGAATGGAGAGAAGTAAAGCTCTTCAGGAAATTCTAAAAAGAAAAGACATCCAAGTAGATATCAGAGCTAATTCTGATATGAAATGGCATGTTAAAGTCAGTTATGCCAATGGACTGACTAGCTGATGTATATTCAAAGACTTAAAATTCCCTGTGACCTTCCTCCACTCCACCTGAATGAATCTCTCAACTGAAATGCAGCTCAGAGACTTAGGCAGCTTTTAAAAAGCTTCTTGGAGATCTGTAATGTTGTGAACTGGCAGTAGGCAGAGGTGTCTTCAAGGCAAGGTCCTTCCTCAGCTCCATCATTTTTGTCAGTAAGTAAAAAGGGGGACTGAATTCTCCTGCTATTGTTAGAAAACGTTTCCCACCACAGGATCCTACTGAGGTGACTAATTTTGCTGATAAAACCCAGGATAAAACAATGTCATATAGTGCTGGTTTGTGTTTTGCTTTGTTTCTATATTGCATGTGTTATTCTCTAGAAATGAGGCTTCTTCCCAAAAATAAAGAATGGTTCTGGAAATGAAGCAAGAGTACAAAAGATATATAACCCATAGGCAAATTCTCTAGAAAAGCTCTTTAAGGACTTTTAAGGTGTTATTTTAATCTGAACTATATGTTTTATAGATGGACCAATGCTGTAATTTTTTATGGCTGTCATATTTTTAGATCTGGAAGATATAATGCACCATTATAATGCTCCTACATAACATAGACTGTAAAAGTGCCTATTGAGCCCTTTTATTTTATGGAGCCCTTTTATTTTATTGAGGTAAAATATAAATGTAGGTGTTTATTCCTTGGTGAAACTTAGAATATGGAAAACATACAACTAGATAATGTAGTCAGAAGAAAAACATTTCCTGTAAAAAGATTTCCTTGTGGCTCTGCAGCATGCAGATAGCTCATACAGTGCTTCTACTCTAATACTGTTTAACACAATAAACTCTCTAATGTAGTGTGTGTATGTATGACACTATTTGTTTGTTGTGTTAAATAGAAGTGCTGAAAATAATTATTAAAGTATTTATTAAATAAATACGCAATATTATTAGTTGTTTCCATTTTAATGTAACATAATGACTGCTGTACCTTTACAATAGTGCTACTGCATAGTTCCAAATCAGCCTAAAATGTAATACATTTTAGTGCATTAATGATGATTTAAAGATAAAGAAAGTTTAACCTCGTGTTTGATTTCAAAATCTCAGTGGTTACATAAACGTGTTGTGCTATACTTCTTGTTTCAGTAACATTTGAAAAAAAAAACCAAAACCCAAACAAACCCGAAAAAAACCCACCCACAAAAAACCATGGCTGCAGCTGAAAGTGATACTAATCAAAATGTTCACTCCGAGGTACTGGTTACTGACGATTCAGGTACTGTAAAAATAAACTGGGCTTTCGGTTCTAAATTAAAGAGACAGAACACATTTTCAGTTTATTTACAGAGGAAACTTCCTTCCTCATAAATTACTGCAAGGAATCTGCCTTTGTCTGTGTCTGAAAAATGTAGATTTGACTTGGCTGGTCTTACTAATTCCTTCTTACTGTCCTTGGGTCACCCAGTATCTTTCTTACATGGTCTGGAGCATATTTGATTGCTTGGTCTAGCAATATCCAAGTATTTGTATAGGAATTCTAGGTTACAGGATTTTACATCAGAAATTGATTTAGTGTTTTCTTTCTTACTTCCCTTTCGTTTTTTCTTTTTTTTCCTGCCCATTCTTTCAAGCTGTAGAAATGTTCAGGTTAATTCTAGTATTTGGTGAATAAGGGAGTCCTAGAAACGCTCTCTAAGAGGCAATGCAGAACTATTCAGTTTGTCTTGTCTTTCCTCTTTTAAGTATAAGACTATTAATTTTGTGATATTTCTGAGTACTTTGTTAAGGTGAATGTTTTCGCACTTCTTATATGTGTCCAGTTGTTTAATATACTCTATTGAGGAACTTTCCCTGATGCTGAATCTAAACTTTCTCTGGCAACAGTTTCTCCTAGAAAACACTTGGAGACTCCTAAATAACCCTACTCCTTTCATTCTTCTACAGCCTTACAGCAAAAATCAAAATTTAGTACCAAAAGATGAAACTATCTTTAAGGATTCAAAATATAATCTTTTCTATTCCCAAACTTACAGGATTTCCTCTGTTAAAGTATAAAAAGAAAGCTGCAATAACAAAATCTCCTGTGATAGAAACATAAGGAAGGTATTATGGAAACCAAGATCACAAAGAACAAAATTCGTTTAGATTCCAGTTCCAGAAGCTGCTTGAGGATAAATTAAACTGAATCCTTCGGTTGGGGTTTTGTTGTCTTAGTTGTAGACATTATTAGTGTAAACAATACCATCTCTATATTTTACTTCTGCTGAAGTGATTAAAAAGGCTGCCATCATGGAAACTAGCACCTTTCCAAGGGAACTGGCTCAGCAACTTTAGAATTAACAGACCAGAAAATACATTTTAAAAGATTGTCACATGAAAAGGAAAGGCACTTCTCATCACCTATAGCTTAATAACTTGTAATTCGTAGTAAATACATAAAGGAAATTTATATAGCCTTTGTGATGTCTTTATGAAGTTATAAATGGACAAGCCTACGATTCAGTCCATTGAGAGAAAGAATATGTATGAATGAAGACATAGTGAACTTTCTTACAGAAATCTTAATTCCAAAAATATAAAACATTTCCTAAGACTGAAATGCCTCTTAATCTGCAAAGAAATCTGACTGATGTTGAGCACTAGTTACAGAAGCAGAAGTTGATAGTGTTTTTCTCTGTCTTTAAAGATTTTTAATCTATATCAACTAACTAAAAGCTGAACAAGATCATTCAAGATCATTCCATCAATGATGTTTATCATATTAGTGCAACACAACAGACCCAGGCTATTCACCGTTCTTACGAGTCCTTGACTCTGTTGGCAGCAGCAGGATGTATAGACAGTAGAAATTAGGGAAAGACTTTCTGTTTGTATTAAAATAGATGGCTGAGCTAATTATGGAATGGAAATTATGATGTTTAGATGCCTGCACTAAATGCCAGATTCTCCTTATGTTTTTAAGAAGTGTGGAGGAAGTATGCAATGGTATCTCTTAAAGGTTAAAATACTGCTGAAAGTTATCCCAATAAAAGTCATCATTGAAGCTTATGAACTACCAGTTTTCTCCTAATTTCTTCACCTTGACTTCAGAAATCCCCAAACCCACTAGGCATTGATTTGATCTTTATTTAGGATTCACATGTAACTAATCTTGTTTAAATTCCCTCTGCCTCCTTATTTCCCTCCCTCCCTCTTTTTCTTCTGTCAGCCCTTCATTTTCCATCAGTTTGCCTTAAAGGCCCAGGGTGGATGAGTCAGTGATTCCAATCTGTATTTGCTTAGATACCAATTCCCTTTTAGGGATAGCAATATCATGCTTTAGCTCAGCAGGCAGTTATGCTTTTTGAACAATTTTGACATCTAGAACTTTCTTTTATTAGATATTGACTGCTGCACTCCTCTCTATTTGAAAAAAAATCATGCTCTCTGGGTTTGCTTAAAAAAAAAAAACAAACAAACAACAAACCACACAACAAAAAACCAACATAAAAACCCCAGCTCTTGCCTGCACAGATATCACCAATCTGATGAAGAGTCAGAGTGGTTTAATCATTTTCCTTTCTTGTCTACTTGTCAGTTGTTCATTCATCTTGGGTCACTTGAACATCTATTTACTTGCCTTTCTGTCTCCCATGGGCCCTCCCCTTCCCCCGACTCCCAGGGAACCCTAACACTGGCATTGCCAGACCTCATGGCTCTGAATTTTGGTTTGTTTGACTCGACAGTTTGGAGGGAAGCTAATACTATGTCTTTCCCTTGCTAAGTAAAGAACAAACTGCAGGTACCTTGAATAAGACAGGCTGAGAAGCCAAAATACCTGGTGAGAAGATCTTCCATGCTGCCGCCACAGCAGCATCTGAGTGCTTGATCACGTACAAGATGCTTCTAAAGCACCAGGAATTCCACAATTCCACATCAGCTCCAGAGCTTGATGCTCTGGAGCTGCAACCACATGCCCAGATTAAGGGTCTCTCACTTACAGGATGTGAGGAGGGAGGGAACATTTTCCACCCTGCTTAATTCTGTCTTCATCTGTAAAGGAGACAGCTGAAAGGGGAACACATGATGGTATTTTGTTCTGTTATTTTTTTTTCTAATTAGCCAAAGTATTGAAAATGCTTCTGTCTCTTTAAAATGGTGTGGTATTTTGTGCTGTGACTATTACCGAACGTGAAGTTATTTGAGTGAACAGAATAACTTCATGTGTGTTGAGGTGTGAGGTGACCTCATTATTCCTAAATCTGTTCTTGTTTTGTAGCACTACTTTTTCATCTCTGCTCTTTCAGCTGCTCAAGTGTTTTTATTTCTGCTCTGGTTGTGTAACAGATTTTTTTTTAAATTTCAGAATCATAGCAACATAAGTCGGTTAGTTGAGCCAACCTGGCAGAAATTTAGCTGCTCGTAGATAAGACAATAATAGAGCAAGATTAAACAGGGTTTGTGGCTTAATAGAATAAGAAGCGATACTTGCCAGATTTTACTTTGATGCAAGGATATTGATTAATGCAAGAGATGCTTCATTCCAGTTGAGACTTCTGTTAAAGAGATTTCAAAAATTATCATTTTCCCTTTGCTTGCACAAAGTCAGGACTTCAGAGAGGTGTTGTGTTGAACACTCTGGCAAATTGGCGTTACCTGTCTGCCTTCAGAAGAGAATGTCCTGGGGAGCGCTGGCACTCTGCAATCAGTGCTTGCTCCAGAGCAAATCTCCAGAGAGACACTGCTCCCTTCAGCACTGTCTGGTTTTGCTGTCACTGTGCTGTTGGAACTCTTATCTGGAAATGAGGCACCTGTCCACTCACAAAGAAAAGAAAAAAGTATTTCTCAAAGTTCACTCAGTGGTCTCCAGGCAGCCTTGGTGGTCATACTGAGTAGAATTTCTTTGACGAAGCAAATTAGAGGTGGATGGCTGCATATCCCATTGCAAATGCCATATATTGACAATTTTTTATATGCTAACTTGGAAGTTTTTCCATTTAGACCTCAAGCATTTAAGGGACACACAAGAGACAAGATTGCAACTCCGTTGCTTGAGAGCTCTGTATCACCTCCTGAGTTGTTCGTGTGGGACATGCTTGTCTAAATAATGGATCCCATCTTTGGTAGCCTTAACCGCCCATCAGAAACTTCCTGGCTCCAGTGGTGTTTGCCTGGCTCATTTTCTGCTGCTCTCTCTTGGTTTCTCGTACTAGCTTCAATATTCTCCGCTGACTGCACGTAGCTCTGGAGCACTTGAGTGAGTTGGTGATCTGTGGGGTTTTTAATGAGCAGGTAAGTTTTCTGACCAAAGCGTGTTTCCTAAGTTAAAGGCCTAGTGCCTATGCCAAATCTATACTTGCATAAATAACCTCCATATCTACAATTATATATAACAGGTTTTTAGCAGTTCCACTGCCTCTGTTTCCTGTTGCACTGAAAATAGGTCCAGGTGAAATTTTGGCCAGAGGGGCAAAAATTTTAGTTTGGCATTGGTGGATGGCATTACTGCCAGTTCAGGGATGTGAATTACATAATTAATATCTGCATAAGATAATGTAAAAGCAGAACACACCATGTGTGTTTTAGGGGCTTTACATAAACAGGAATTGTTTGGGGAATAACCAGGACCTTTTAAATGCCTACTGCATTGCACTTTTTATGTATCAAGACCTATTTTCATGTAAGTCAGTTGAAGAAAAACACTTTATTTTTGTCTTCAAACTTTGCACTGAATTTAATTTTGTCACTTCACCTTTTAATCCTCTTTCATTGTAATGTTTTGACATGTAACAAAAGTTTGTGTTTCAGTTGTCATCCCTGCTTAAACAGAGAAAGGCTGTGACACTGGTGGCAGGCAGCTCAGGTGTGACTGAGATAAAGCTGATATTAGGAAGTTTTAGGGAGAATGGTTTCTGTCTCTTCACTGCCAGATTTCCACCACTTATCTTCATGTCTGTTGTCTGAGTGATGCTGCTGCTTCTCAGCTGTTATTACAAAAAGTCTTTTGATAACCTTGTGTGATGATTGAACAGTACTAATTGTTCCCACCTAGGAGGCTGTTTTGTGGTCATTCAGGCATCTCCAACTTTGATGGTAGATTATGTTATCCCTCTAAGAGGTACCTCTTGACACCTATGCTCTTCAATATTGTAATGTCCATCTGTTGGTTTTCAAGGTGGATCTTTCTCATGAGGTTTGGAGTGCAAAAACTGCAAAGGATTTGAATAGCTGCAGAATGTGCTTAGGGAAGTGACCACAGCTGTGATCCACAGAGTTTCTGCTCAGATACCTATGCAGTCTTTCTGATGATCCTGAGCCCTTCTGTAATTCATGGTCTGAATTAATCCTGGCTTGCTGGTTATTTGGAGGGATGGTAGATGTAGTGCAGCACTGTGGGAGGAAGGCTTGAGGGAGCTGGGTGAGGTGATTTATTGACTGCAGAGAATCTTGGTTTGCCAGCTGCTGGAGTGGCATAATCAGCCCTTATAGATGGGTCAAAAAGCCATGCATTTTGTCAAACCAAAGTAGTTTCATCCTCTTATTCTTTTTTTTTTTTTTAGCTCTTTTTAATTAAAATGAAATTGGGTGAAAGTGAATCTCTTGGTTCCTGAGAATGTTTCATTAGTGAATTAAAATGAATCCCTAAAGAAAGAAGTTGCTAAAGTCATTATTACACATAAATCTTGATACATCTACCAAAAAAAAAAAAATTAGCATGAGATACCTCAGAGGAGAAAGTAACAGGGGGATAGTATTCTCAAGCTTTTTATTTTATCTTTTCTCATTTACAGTTCAATCCCATTTGTCTGTGTTTTATGGAAATTATTCTGTATGTCTGTATTTCCAGTGCTTAGAAAGAAGGGGTCACTAAGAAGCCTAAGATTCTTCAATGTTTCTCCAAATATACTTTTTTAATTGACTTGACAGAGGGAGATTTGAGGAATCAGATATTAGTAAATGTACTATGTACAACAGATTAATCAAAATTTTCCTCTCTTAAAGACTTTATATTCTGACTTCTCTGCAATTGATACAAAATGTCAAGGACCTCTGCTGAAACTGGATAAAAACCATAAACTTTTGTTTCACATTGAGAAAGCACAACCTTTCTCTAGATCTTGAATTTCATGAGAAGCACTTTTTGGTCTTAACACCATCAGGATGTGAAAGCCTAAGCATAGCCACTTGTTGCTGGTCTTTGGGTAAAACTTGTAATACATGATTTTGAACAAACACAATGCAAGAATTGAAAAGATGTCATTAAAACATTGATTTCCGGTTGTGGATTTTACTTCATGAGAAGCTACCTGGTTCCCAAGAGAATTGAAAATTAGACCTCCATTTGTACGCCAAACTACAGATCAGAGAGCCTGGCTTTACAGAGTATATTTTCCCTTAAATCCAGTTGCAAATGTCTGTTTGTGGAAGACTGGCATCTCTGCGAATGGAGCTACTGGAGCCATGGGAAGTTTTATCCATAGCACAGAGAAGTACTGTAGTAGGCTTTGGCTCAGCTGGTGTTGACTGAGAACTGCATAATGAAGCCTTTTTGGGGTTTTATATTCAAAACTTTATTGCTTTCTAAGAGGAATTTGCATCATTGTTGCTTCTTTTCTGGTGAATAATAAAGTCTGCTTAATGCTTGTCTCCATTTCATGGTACTATAGGATGCTTCAGAAAATACTAATGTCTGGCACAAATTATCTTGGAAAATTCAGCCTCCTGATTTCATGGTAGCTATTGACATTAAATTGTTCTTGTAAAAGTGAAAACATGGATAGTACTATAATGTCAGGAATTTTCTTACTTTTTTAAAACCACTGCTGTTATTCATAACACCTATAAAGAGTTGCCCGGTATCCCTGGTATACCTTATTTCCCTTGTGGGACAAGTAAGCTATTTTTGGCTTTGTAGCTGGGGAAGACTGAGCAAAAAGCAATTATATAAACTAATGTACCCAATGTAAGATCACCTGGGAGGTCTTAGCTATCAATCTGAAATCACCTTGACTCTTGCTAGTTAAAACTTCCCTTAGCATTTTCCACAGGGAGAGTGCTAAGAACAGAGCGCTGAAGTACATGCCCAGCCTTATTTTTAAGGCTGCTCCTACAAGCTTCCTATCACGTTACAATATGTCTTTCAGAGTTCTCTTAAAAACAGCAACAACAACAAAAAAAACCAAAACAACAACAACAACAACAAATCCAAACAAGTCCTTCTCTTTGGTGATTTCATGGCTTTTGTTTCTTCCTCAGAGAAGATCAAGTCTGGAGTGTCTCTGACTTCATCTGAAATTGTAGGCATGATCAATTTGTTTAAGAAACCTTGTAAGTACTTGACTGATGGAGCACGTGATGTCCTGTCATTTGAAAGCTCACTGTTAAGTTTTTGTGGCTTAGTCTGGAATACTTTCAGCGGGGAGCTGGCTGAGGGGAAAATGTGCTGTGCTTCTTGTTTTTAAGCAGGAGCTGCTGATAATATGTGTGCTGCTTTTGTCCATTTTTATGGCAGTCAGAACAAACAGCTTATGTGTGAAGCTCAGTCAAATCCAAAACAAAGAGATTATTCTGGTTTATGTTTTTGCAGGTAATTCCCTGTGGCATTACTAGGAGCTGTTACCTGTTCCACTGTGGGAAACTTGATTCCCTCCCCCCAGTTTGTGTTATGTCAGATGCTGCGTTTTACCATACTATTTGAAATGGCCCTTTTACCTGGTGAAAGTTTAGAATTTATGGATTTAAATTTTGAAGTAAATAGAAAAGTACATGCTTACTTAGGATCATCTGGGTTATTTTTCAAAATTGTCAAAAAGTTTGCCATTTTAAAGCTTTCTATGGTAGTCTTCACAGGTTTTCATATGATAATTCTCAATTATCTTTCACTTGCATTGATACTACGTTATATGATTTCACTTTTATTTATTACATTGGGTTTGCAGAGATTCTTCGACAAATTTAGAATTTATTTGACTTAAATGCTGTGAATGGACTGAAGCAGTGTTAAGTTTGTAGTTATGTGTAAATAGCAAGCATGCTGTCAAGCAGTGGTGTTGGAATCGTGTGGTGATGTCCTGTTCACCTCTTTGTTGGTGAAGTTTGGGGGTAGGGGGAGATGGGGGAGGAGAGCTTGGCCAAAGCATCTATAATAAGACCTATTTTTGATGTGAGATGATGATTAACATTGTAACATGACTAAAGTTTTAGTCTGTTTTCAGATTTCCCCATTATATACCTCGTGTCTCTGTTTCCATTGGGTGGCATGATTTTCCTCTTGAGGTACTGAAAAGGTATTAAGAGGGGAAAAGGCTCTGACTTGATTCACCAAGTACCCTTCAGACCATGAAGTCCCCCTGTCACCCTGTCACTGACAGTCAGGTCAAACGCTCTCCCAGGGAAAGAAAGGAGAGAGGAAGGAATGTAAAAAAGCCTTTACTTCTCAACAAGTTATTTAATCAGCTCTAATTATGGATTTAAATGATGGAAGTAGTAAGAAGACTTACTTTGCATTTACTGTTGAGGAATTCATGTGGGAAGAAGAGACACAAGTGTTTGAAATACCTGACTAGCTCTCTGCTGTCATTTGTTAATAATTCACATGGCCCTTTCATTTGTATTTTGTTGACAAAAAGAGTGTAGGCTTGACATATAAAGAAGCTCTTAACTTCCTTTGTGAAGCAGTGGGAGTATAGCGTGTCCATTCAGTACAAAGAAAAGAATTTACTTGTGTGAAATTTTCAGACTTTTTTAGTTTTCTTTTTGTATGCTTTGCCAGTGGCTCTGTGGGAAGGAAACTCTGTTTCTCATGTGACTTTTACACTTGTGTTAGCTATCATTAGTTAAGCCATAACTGAGCTGAAAATTCCAGGCCCAGACTTTCCCAGAATTTGGTGCCTACTTTTGTAGAAAACCATTTGTTCTACAATTACCACCAAGGGTGCATCCCTGTCTTGCCTTGTACTGGGTTTTAGGGTCAATCACTGTATGGTACTATGGTAAAGACTTAAAAATCTCCAGCAGACAGTTGTAGGGGATAAGTGATTCATTGTTGTGTGAGACTTCTCTGAAAGCTGCTGTTCTGGGAAATCTTTGCCTATGACCACTTTTCTTATGGTCCCTTTGCTTTCAATCCCTTTCTATCCTGGTATGTGCAGCAGTTTCTGAACTCTCTCCCCCTCAGCAAACTTTCCCTGGGTAAAGAGCAAATTTTGAAAATATTATGCTATTAAAATCTTATTTGGGATGTTTGTTTCTGATTCCCTAAGAAGGATATGATTTACAAAGAGATAAGTATGACTGACTTACCTTGATTCTGCATAAGTATTAGCAGAACTCCAAAATGATGAAAACATGAATATGGATGATTTATATATCCATGAGCACTCTACATGGGATAGCAATGCCTTCTATACATAGAACATGAAGTTTTAATTGCTCATGGGTGGAGACAGACACTAATTGTCTAATCCAGTCATTTGTTGAGAAGGCATTCATTATTTTTGTCGCTTAAGATTTATTTCAGAAAACTTGGGAAAATAAAGTTGACCCCATGGATCAAGACTGAATTTCAAATTACTCCTATGCTTCTTGAGCAGACTGGCTGCTGTTGGAAATGCAACACTCAGCTATATGGAATTCTTGTCTATACCAACTTTGCCATGCCTGCATTCATTTTTTCTAATTATTAAACAACTTGCACTTAATGAGTTACAATTAAGTAGTACCTTTTGCTTTGTTACACATACAAAATTATACTCCAGTAAAATGCTTCATGAACTAATTAGACATCTCAACCCATCTGACTTCTGTCCTCTTGTTTACTGGTTTCTTATTAGATAGTGAGGTTAAAATCTTGCCTCCTTACTCCAAAGATGCAATCTCTTCATGTTCTGCCTCTCCCATGACAGATGAAATTTAATTCTTATTCTGGAATGCTGTTTCCCTAAATGAGGTGTCCTCTTTAACCTACAGAGCAGAGTGCCTGTCCCATTTCACAGCATAGCCTAAAGCAGGGATGACCAGCTGCTCTGTGGCTACACTTGCCCCAGCTAACAACTCGAGTGCTGAAGGATAATAAGTGGCTGACTCTGGAGAGGGTGCTTGGGGTATCCTGAAGAACAGGTACAGACAAACCTTACCAGTCTGATGGCATGGTCCAGGAGGGCAGGGCAGAGAAACCAGTTGTTTACAGTGAGGTCAGGTCCTCAGAACTTCCTAGTTACAGCTTGGAGCCCATTCCAGCAGAGGAGAGCAAAGTCCTACAAGGCTGCCTCGGACGCTCTGCCCCTGCCCATCAGAACCTCAGGGGGCTTCCAGCCATCTTGCTTTTCCCTGCTGTGTGTCTTGGAACAAAAACTATTTTCAGTAAAAAACCAAAGAAAAATAAACCCCTCTCTCTCTTCAGTTTGGGCTGGTTCTGCTAGAGGCCAACTAATGCTAGTAATGGCTCTGTGTATATTCCCCAGCATGGAGGACTTTAGAGCTGCTGCTTAGGATCCAGCCATGCTGTGTTTCCACCATGGCTGCAAAAGAGGGTGATGCTGTCTTTCAGAGAGTTTGTTTCTTGGGGGCTCTGAGGTCTTTTCTATGGACAGTTTTTCTGGCAGATGTTTTAGGTAAACAAACATTTGATATTACAAGGAAGTAACACAGATTGCTACACCTTCAGATCCTTCCTGAGTTGTAAGGTCGTGCATGCATTTTAAGAGCCATCCTTTCTGCTCTCTTCCTTGGCCCTGGTTAATTTCACATGCTTTGGTTAAGAGGCTTTTGGCCTCCTCCCCAGTGATGTGCAGTGCACGTGGTGTCCATGCAGCAGTGGGCTGCCATAGTGGGGAGGCTTGCAGCTAGGAATCAGTTCCATGGATGTACACGTCACCAAGGCACCTCGAGGATGAACAGTTACAGACAGATAATCTGTTTCAGCTCCTATCCAGTGCCTCCTTCCACTTTGTGCTGAAAAAATGGGAAAACCACTTCCATCTGCTTTTGGAAGAACTTAGTAAAAATACTAATGTTTTTTTAAAAGCCTTTGCTACAAAGTAGTGAAATCTCACTGCTCTCTTATTTTCCCTAGTTTGTATACATGGTTATCCAGATGCTGTCAGGATTGCATTACCATTACTGAAGCTTTAGGATACCATGTGGGTGATGGGTGATGTCCTTATAGGAATCTGTTCACCAAAACCAAGTACACGTATTTCAACACATTTTAGTCACATGCTCGACTGTTGTGTCCAAACTGGCACCTTCCAAATGAGTAGCAACTTCCCTCCCATTAATGAATATGGATATATATAATGCCAGGTAGCTGTATGCATTCTGTCCAGGTGGGGTTTTTTTCCAGATTCATCAGTGATCTGCTCATCTTCATTTAGCATCAGTAAACCAGTGAATTCTCAGGTGGTACAGCAGATTAGTTGTCATCAGATAATTTTCAGTTTACAGTCTGAAACACTTAAACTCAGTGTCTGTTGATATGTGTTGAGTTTAAACTCAACATTAACTGTGACTAAATCAGATCAAATTACATTTGTTCAGAGTAATGTTTTCTGCAAACACATTATGAACAATCTATATCCTGTGATATAGATAGAGACATACGTGATAAATGAAGCCAAACTGAAAAAAGAGAATATTTGGAGACTCTCCTATTTTGTTCTGATATTGTGTGGTTATTCGTTTTATGGTTTGGTTCCAAACAATCCATGGCAGAAAAGCAGGAAAAAGAAAAGGAGGGAATGTGGTTTCTCTTGTAATTGAGACTTGCTCTTTAACAGAAAATTCCTGGAGAAGATGCTGCTCTGCATCGCTGCAATGCTGTGTATTTCTGCTGCACAACTGGCATCTTTCTTCCATGTAATATGTAAGACTTAGTCTTAAAATTGAAGCAGAGGGGATAAAGGGGTGGGAGAAGCCTAAGCTTAACTTGTACACTGTGCAAAGTTACCCTCATATAACTGAGAGTGCTGTCATTTTGTATACCTAAATTAAATGGTTCTTTCCTCTGACTGTCCTGGGTGGGTGTTAGTGCACATATGGCTTTTGGACTTTAGCTCAGCTGTTTAAAGAAGTATCAAGATTAGTGCAGTCATTTAAAGCATCAGGATTTTTATGACAATGCAGAAGAAAACCTGATATGAGGATCTGGGGATCTGATAGAGGGCCAACATGGAGCACTGGAATGATTATTCTCTTCATCTAGGACTTTTAGCTGTAAGTGTTAGTTTTTGCCTTCTCTATACCCACAGGGCAAACAACAGCTATGTTGGTTTCCATACTCAGATTTGACAAATCTTTCAGAAACTTTCATGTGAGGAAAGTTTCAAGAA